CGAGACAACCACTGCAGATGGCATGCTCAAAATGTGGAGCGAAGCCACCGGCAAAGACGCGATTCACGTCCAGATCTCTCTGGAAGATTATGAGAAAATGTGGCCGGTATGGGGGACAGAAATGGCGTTGATGTATCTATGGTGGCAGCATGAAGGCGAGAGTCTATGGGCACCTCGTGGCCAGGAAATCATCACACTAGAACAACTTGGGTTGAAGACAAAAGACCTCGTTTCTACCAAACAGGTAATGCTGACACAGGACTGGGATGAACTTTGCTAGCGGCTGTTCAGAAGGTACAAGGCTTGATCGATATTAAGATAGCTAAAAACAATTCTGATGGTCAAGAGGGGGGGAATCTATCCCTGCTGATGAAAAGGATAGATAGTACCACGACGAAGATTGATAGGGAAAAGGTGGGATAACGGGCATTTCTGTAACCTCCAGATTTCCTTGTTTGAGCCGAGTAGATATAGGCGGGAAATCCCCAGAATGAAAAGAAACGTCTCTAGACCTGATTACACTCACCGAGACCTCTTACGATTCCTGGTCGTTTGACCATGTTACTGTACGCGACATCATCACCTAACCTGTAAAATCAGATCATGCGCTGCTCGTTCATCTTTAGTTGCTCGTTCATGCCTGACCAATCAAGCATTCTAGTTATCTGGCAACATCACCATTCTACCTGTTATCTTGCCATGGTGAAGATCATCTAACAGGACCGGGAAGTCCTTCATACTGCCCTTCGTTACTCGAGGAACTAGCACTCCTTTTTGGATGAGATCCAAACAGTCTTTGATATTGTGAATGTTGCCGCCGTAACTGCCCATAATGTTGAGTTGACGACGCACGATGGTCCCCGTCGCAAATGAGAGCTCTGGGCCGAGTAGACCAACGACTACAATGGTCCCAGCCTTGCGAACTATTGCCGCAGCCATGTGTTAGAAGCCGATATGCCATTAGAGGAAAGGAAAAGAAGCAGAGGATAGGATCCTTACCACTCGCCAGAGCTAGTTTAAATGTCTCGGTCATGCCCACGAAGTCAATGACCTTGTCAATGTCGAGGTTCCTTTCTCGAATCCAATCACTTGGGTCCGGTGTACCTGCAGGCACAATGTCTTCTCTCTTAACCCCAAGCTTCTCCGCTTCATCAAGTACAATTTGTCGTTGGTCCGCGACAACCAGACGCGCACCACGACTCAACGCTATCTGAAGCGCATTGAATCCGAGACCTCCTAAACCAAGAATCAAAACAACGTCTCCTTTGGTCACTTTGGCTCTGTCCACGACTGCATGATGGGCTGTCATGCAAGCATCGGTTGCGACTGCACCAGCTTCAACACTGACTCCTGAGGGGAGAATGGCAGCTGCTCGCTCCGGCACTACCGCGTACGTTGCAAAAAAGCCATCATGTCCGCCACCGAAGTGAGGGCCTTTGGGGCAAATCTGTGGGCTGCCTCTAGAACATTCAACGCATGTTGAGGCACCGCATCCAGGGACACACATAACCACAACCATATCGCCCAGCTTGAAACGACTCACAGCTGAGCCGAGCGAGACAACTTTACCACAACCTTCGTGGCCCTAAAAATGGGATGTGATTGAGTAATTGCTCGCGTGGATATGAACGACTTGGTACAATGAGGGGTTTACCGACCATTGTGAAGTCCGACTTCCCGCCCTCGAATTCAACCGGAAGTGCTGCCATTTCTTTTAGAGCATAGTCACTATGGCACACTGTACTTCATCTTTAGTTCTGCATAGACTGAATGAGTCTTTGAGAAGGTGAGAAATACCGCCTGCTGCAAGAATCTCAACCAATATCTCATCTTTCTGGGGGACTGGCACCGGAACCTCTCGGCGAACCTGTTCTCAGATATCAATTACAGCTTTCATATCGTCAGTGTTGTGCCCACTTACCAAGTCCTTGCTGGGAAGATGCTTCCGCCAGGCTAGCATTGTCTTTGGTAAAGCGGCAGAAACCATGGTCATGTTCTATGATGCGTGGCTTCTGTTAGATTGATGTACTGTAAGGCGACCAAGAGATGTCAACTTCCTGAGAATTGAGGATATAGTACTTCGTCTGTACGTTGCTTTAAACGTGAAAGTTTTCGGCCATCTGGAGAAAAATATGCCCAAGGTGCTGGTCTAGGCACCGAAGAAGCTGGATTCGGGTATAGAGCACCAAAGAGCCGACAAAGCAGCCATATCTAACAACTGCGATGTTCAGTAATTCGGCATTGGTCATTTGGCCCGTGGGCCGACGGTTGGCGTTGGTTAGGGACAGACGATTGGATAAAGTGGACGGCACTCGGGCCGCAAGCATGAATCTTTTCAATGTTATTTTACATTTGGAGACTTTTAGGGGATTACATCTTGCATTCGAATACTATAGACTCTTTCCAAACAAAGCGGAGGGGGGCGTGGATACGCGCAACTACCGCGGCCCGACAATCTGGCTTCATTGCGCATTCGTCGTTGATCGTGTACAGGCTGGTACGTAAAATGCCTCAGAGGCTTATCATCCTTGAATGTCATTCAAGCCGTCTAAAACAAAAGTCCAAGATGGGACCAACCTACACCGATAGTTGGCAAACTTTTCCTTTCGGAAGCCTCCCAAGGCATATAAGTGGGTAGACTTGATATTACTATGGGCGCATTTATCATCCGGTTATTAGACGTCTAGTACTACCCATCCGGCTGGACACCGAATACACGCGCCAGGGATATCGTTCTCTGCCTCAACCGGCCTTATCCATGAATACAACGGAGTGATAGTTGACGTAGCACAACTTTGAGATTGTATAGACGGCTGGCCGCGGTTAAGATCGAAGCATGCAGAGAGGCAAGGTGCTTCTGACTTGGCAAAAACTCCTCAAAGCGTGTATCGAAAGTCCTGTCGATCTTCAAGTATGAGGCCCTCATTGTCGGCAGCCATGTTTTTCTTGTGGAAGTACCACATCAAGAAGATTGTGAGCACAATCTCAATAGCCATGCAACCAAAGGCAGTGTAAAGCCCAGGTCGGAAATGTGGCGCGTCCTGTGTCCGAAAAATGAGAGAACCTACCACACCTCCAATCCCGCCCATGGTGGTTTGCATTGCAACTGCGACTTGTCGTTTAGCAGCCCCGGGAGTATTGTTCATCAATAAAGTTGCAATTGCAGGAATGGCGCAGTAATTCCCGATGACTCCGAAGAAGATGCCAACCAGTCGACTGCCATTGTTGGGGCCCCAGCCTATCAAGATGAACCCGATAATAACCAGAATGGAGTACCCAATGATAAATGGTCCTCTCAGACGTTTTCTATCGGCGACAATTCCAGTAATGACTGAGCAGATAGCTGCGGCGACATATGGTGGCGTCGCCAGACATTGGCTCGCAGCGAGACTATATCCGAAGCCATTGAGGATTGTAGGAGTGAAGAACGCCATTGTATATCCTCCAGCGGTGGGAAAGCATAACAGAAATGACATAGCCCATACCTTCCAATCTTTAGCTGCACTAAGAAGATGTTTCGGGAGCAGCTTCTCCTCCGTCTCCCCCCGGTCTTCCTCTAGCCTTCGCCGAAGCCAAGTTCGCTGGTTAGGCTTTAGCCATTTTGCCTTATCCGGGAAGTCGGAAACAAAGATGTAGAACGGGATGGCAACCGCAATAGTAGTGAATCCAGGAACGATGAAGATCCACCGCCAGCCTCGAAGACCGCCAACCCCTTCCATCTGGCTCAGTCCATAGCATAGAATGCCATTAAATCCAGCTATCAAGGCGCCGCCGATAAACCAGATTGCAACACGCTTTTGTGTCTCGTAGCGCTTGTACCAGGAGGAGATAAGATATAAGCAAGCTGGCTATTCGACTAATTAGTTCTTTTACTTAGTTTGAATAGATTATGAAAAACTTACATTATAGCCTGATTCGAACAATCCGAGAAGGACACGTAGTCCTGCCATTTGAGAAAATGTCTGGGTGAAGCCGAAGCACATTGATATGGTGCCCCAGCCGACGATGAGACCTGCTAGATAGAGCCGAACGCTGACACGACGCAGGATAGAGTTGCTCGGGATCTCAAACAAGGTATAGGTGATGAAGAACAACATGAGGATCACATTGTATCTATTGCCGGTGAGATTAAGATCCTCCGACATACCAACGATACGGGCGAATCCCAAATTAGTGCGGTCAATAAAGGACAGCCCGTAGAGAAAGGTTAGGCATGGGAGCAGTCTCCAGTCTGCTCTCCGTAGAATGCGCTGGCCTTCTTGAGCGCTGATTCCAAGGTCGTCCCCGGCCAAGCCCTCTTTTTCACCGGGAGAATTCTCTACTGCCCAGCTGGTGCTCTTCTCTTCTTCGATCATATTGATAACAGTAGATTGTTCTCGTGGTTTCGATGGGAAGCAACTTGGGTTCCAAGGCTGTGAAGTGGTGCACAGTGGACAGATATTCTAGGAAATCATGAGCATTATATACGCCATGAGAGTGTTGGCATCATCCCTGACAGCATCCTTATGTTGGCTCTCATGAAGGACACGAAAAGCTCACAAAAAGAGTGTGTTCGACCCTGTACCGACACCATTTAGCAACAATGCCCCCGGCTTTCACTCGGGCAACTAAAGTTCGCTGTTTCCTCGGGCCATGGGTCTGGATCTATCAAACCCCAGACAATGCAATATTTTCCCAGGTCTTTATCTAGTTCCCCCGCATTTGGACAAGTTCGTGGGGTTAATTCCTTAAGTCACCAGCTTCTAACCCTATGCCGAAAGCTTGCGGCCCACTTGTACCGACGTGTTGTACCGAGCAGTTCACTCAACATACACAGCTCATTACGCGATTGCATTGACATTCGAAGATCAGACAGAATACTACGTGAATAGTTGGAAGGACGAAGTAGTAACCTGCTTACGGCCAATGCTGCCGGCCTGAATTAATTATTTGTTTATGAAAAGCCTTGCATATCTGTCGCCTGTAATAGCCGAGCAGCACTCAAGTCGAAATCTACAAAAATGGAATCTTCGCAAATTGAAAACCGGCCTTTGGTTTCCGGCAGGTTCAAACTATCTGATTCTGACAGGAAGTTTGAGTTATTCAACCCAGCAACAATGGAGCGGGTAGCTTTGGTATATGAAGCGGGCGCCGACGACGTCAATATTACTGTAAAGTCTGCCGTCCAAGCCTTCGACTCTTGGTCCACTCCACTCTCGGTGCAGATGGGCGGACTTTGATGGCTGAACCGATTTGCGGATAAGCTTGAGGCAAACGTTGGGGAGCTTTCTCGATTGGAAGCCCTTACAATGGGTGGACCTACTCATAAGGACTTTGTACGCAGCTGTGACATGTTCATTTTGTTTGACCTCGAAGAACTAAATCTTGGGTCATTGTCAGACGATCTATTAGGTAATTAGTGTGCTGAGATACTTTGAATATAAGGCTTTGGACGTCCATGGCAAAACCTCTTTGAGCGGCCCGTTGGTCTTCGGTGTGACAGTGAGGCAACCATACGGCTTTGTTGGTGCGATTATTCCTTGGAGTACTCCATTCTTGATGTTTTGTTTGAAGATTGGTCGAGACGTCAAAAGAATTAGCACGGGCAAAACTTGTCGAAGACAGTCAAGATACATACACATGAGCTGCGAAATTTAGGTGACACTAGACACTTATTAAAGATCCCCGGTCCATTGCATCCTAAGATGACAAGTTCCGGAGTAGGATAATGGGCACGTGCGCGCAAGGTAAGGGTTGATTTAAAGATTATGAGCTAAGCCCAATGTGAATTAGTGTGGAGAATCATTTCTCCACCTTCCCCCAAGTTGCGTCGCGTCACCTTTACGCGGTCCCCTCAAGAACTTTCGCCTCTACCACAACAGTGAGATAGTGCGGCTCTGAAAATGACAGAGGGACCGTCGTTGACGACACTTTTGATGAATGCACTGACTAAGAGTGAGGCACTTCAGAAGCACGTGGAAGAATCCAACAATCTCCTCCGCCAAGTCAAGCTTGAAAATGAAAGCCTCACGCAGCGGATGCAACTATTGCAGCAGTCAATGCCCGAGAACACTGGTGTGGAGAAAATCAATCGTATTGACCAGTTAATGGGAGAAAGTGGAACATTACGAGGCGTTAGCGATGATCCACAAACGTGTGGGTTGAGGCGAATTCCAGGGGCGAAACAGCCGAAGGCAGAACGTCCGAATCTTGAGAGGGGCGACCACGATTTACGGGATGAGAAGGAGGCTTCTGCAAGCGTCAATCCGGATAGAGTTGACCTCCCCCAATCGACTTGCCGGCAAGATGATTGTCATCGGTTGATCGCCATATCAAACCAACTTGAGGCTGCTCTGAAGAAGGTAGAGCAACTGACACGAGAGAACGAGAGCTTGAGAAGTCGGCTTGAAAGGCAGCAGCAGGTTCCTGATATTTCTGCGCAATTGGATTCTCTTTTCAAGCAGAACATTGAGAAACAAGCTGAAAACGACCAGCTGAGGGTCAAGATAAAGCATCTGCAGAACAAACAGCGGACGTGGCGTCCGCAAAACACAGATCCTTCTTCCTGTGGACCTTACATCGAACCCTCTGAGAATAAGTCGGAACGACAAGCGGTGGAAGATGCAGACCTTGTTCCAAATACTGCGCGGGACCTAGGGACGCTCCGGACTGTATCAGAACCCCAAGTGGGGCGAAAAAGGCCACGCATACGTAGCCCTCCTGAGACCCCTCTTCGAGAGATGTCGGGCAATGCACGACTGCAGTTGACCTCATCTTCCGCAGTCAAGCCTAGAAGAAGTCTGGACAGTGCTTCGGGGACGAGAAAGGTCGATGAATTAGCAGAAGATGGCGAAAATCATTCCGAACACGACAGTCGAATCATTGGAAGGAGGTCCTCCACGACTACCAAAGCAGCAGCCACTGGTCGTCTAGAGAACCTTTTGTTTACACCACGCCCTGACAACCTGCTTCTCGGGCAAATGAAAACTCCCGATCCTCTCTCAGCTTCGCGCCAACCACAACTCGGGTCCAATTCTCACGTATCTGCAAGCATTGCTATGGACCAGGCACCGTTGCGCGAAAAACCACGATCTCGGCTAAACCTGAAAGATTTCAAGGTTAACCCTCGCTACAGCGGTGGAGAGTTGTTCGCTGTAGTAGAAGTGGCCCGGAACAAAGAACGGAGAGAGTGTTTGGCAGGTTGCACGAAAGCTGAATGCTGTGGTGCGAACTTCAAAGCACTTGCTACTACCTTGCCTCAACTCTTAGATGGAATGTCGGATGATGAGTTGTTGGTTGAGTTTCTAGGCCCTGGGCAGATTGAGATGATGGAGGGTTTGACACCATTAGCAAAGACCAATCTTGTTGCAGAAGCGCGCACCAAGAAGTTGGCAGATGCTTTTGGCAAAATGCACAGAAGCGCTTTCGATCGAGCACCAAGCCCGCCAGGATACTGGAACACAGAAATGCCAGGCACGCAAGAAGAACAGGACAATAGGGCCAAGTCCAGCTTATGGGAGAAGGAAGAGATTGAGAAGAGGTACCGCGAGGCTATGAAGAAAGATGGCCGGTGGTTATTTGTGGACGAGTGAGATTGTAGGACTGTAGGACTGTAGGACTGTAGGACCAGGGTGGTTAAGGATGGTGGGTGAATCTATTCATGTTTGTACTCACCGCACTGATTCTTGTGGTTTGGTCATAATCTTTCTAGGTTGCCTATCTTGTGAACCTTGATGCGGTCAAGATGCAATGCATGAGTGGTCAAAGGACAAACAAATGCCACACTATGGCCACTCGTCAACCACTGGCACGCATATTGTGCTTGTAGTACAAATTGAATGGATTTCTCCGCGTAGGATTAAGTGCTTTTCATCAGACCAGTGATGTGAGACCTCTAACCAAAACCTGAGCATTTCAAAGTTGACAATCCAGTTCTCAACTTCTAGGTCGAACCTGCGTGCATGTGCTGTGATAATCATCGAAACTCAAGCCTGTGGTGTTTACTAAGACCGGTTCTGCCTCATCTCATTCCACCTTGCTTTTCCCTAGCTCGCTTCTGGGAGGATACATAACTCGATCTCTCTCCTCTTGCTGACTTTGCTTGATCAAATCAGCTCCAAAATCCTCCTTTCGTATATCCCAGCGCTCAACCCTCCTCGATCCCTACTGCCCATTGAGGCTCTCCTCTCGAGCTTGAGACCACCATGACCCCTCCAAAAGCGAGACATGCCACTCGCCTGACAAGCGCAGTCACGAAAAAAAGTAGGCCAACGCTCCACTCTTCCTCGTTGAGAAGTAGAATTGATCCGATGATTAAGCAGATCGTCAAAGAAAACCTCAGAAGCCTCAGCCGCAGGACTACTCTCATGTGCTTGGGCCCCTCTATGTCCAACGTGTGAGCTCTATGACCCCACAGCGCATTCCCGGGATTCAATCAGGCTCCAATCTGTTCGATTTTGTAGCAATTGAGGATCAACACGATGTGGTTGACGCCTGGAGAGCTCAACAACAGAGCATTACAGAGGTTTATGCTTGTATTCTACGCATGGATCGGGAGAAGCTTGAATCCACCGAACAGGCTGGGATCGAAGAATTCTCTTTCCAGGTACTCTTGGCTGCTCTAGATTTGGTACGGGCTCGTTGTGCAACCAGACTGAGGTGCTTCCCCAAATCAAGGCAGAAAGATCTCATTTCAACATGTCGTCAGCTGGCACTAATGATACCTCGATCATGCTTCACGGTGGGCGATCAGGAATGCCGTGCAACCCAGTTTTTGGCTGGAATACGCTCTTTTCTCGAGCCAAGATCTCATTCAGTTCAGGACTCTATTGAAACATCAACAGAAAACACACAAGTCATGCGGTCCAACAGAATTCGCTCGAACAAGCGTCAGAATCCCTCCTCTCATATGCAATTCAAACGATCAATCTCGATTGTCACCATTGAGTCGGACTCAGAGGCTGGAATGACGCCCGACGAGGCGCAGCAACTTTCACGACGATCAAGTTTGCCTCGGGGACCCAATAGCGGACTAGCGAATGATCAAAATGGGGTGGTGCCTCGCATTGATGAATTACTCGGATCTGAAATCGAGTCGAGCCCAGAATACCTCTCTCCCACCCCTGCGCCTCGCCAGCAAAAGCGAAGACGAAGTGCCTACGATCAAGTAATTGCTGATCTTCAAGAAAAGGTCAAGGAAAAGGACCGGATGATCAAAGAGAGGGAGAAGAAAATACACTTTCTCCACAAATTCATCTCTGTTAGAACCGGAATGAATGAAGCAGACCTGCTCTTGGCAGAAAAGCGTGTTTTGGTCATGGGTCAAACATACAAATGTGCGTGGACTACGGCGAGCGGCGCACGCCTTGTGGACAATGGTACCAGAGGTCGCTGAGCCACGAAATGAATATGTTCTTCCGCGGAGTCGACTAAATTGGAACGGGCTTTGTACGAATTTTAGACATGTTCAGACTCGAAGTGTGAAGAGGCTTCTCAACCCAGAGCTTTTGGGACGGACGAGCAGTCCACAGGTACATGTATTATCAGTCATAATCGGGTAATAGAGTTATTGGCTGGATTTCCCGGTGTTAATCAGAAGGGTCTGGTGGCATTGGTCAAGGACCTGGTCAGGATCTCCTTCAGATCTCGAATTCTGGGAAATCAACCAACGTTGTTCTGTACAATCGACAATATGCTGACGTCGTGGCTCAAGGCTGACAAGGCTGACAAACTGCATACAATATGCCTACCTCTCCGCTCTATACCACCGTGCATATTCTCATGTTTAAAAGCGGGCTGGCTTCTGGCCATGGGGACTGACCCAACTGAACCAATTAACTCGGTTCCGGAAGACGACCTCCCCACATAGTTGATTTGAGGATTGGACACGACTAATATACATTGTGCTACCTGATGTAGAGGTTCTGCCGAGACGACTAGGTTCCTTTACTTGCCGAAACATGACGACGCGGCGACACAAGCAAAACAGAAACATGAGCATGGAATGTCCATGCTGGCCCTGCTTCAGCACCGAGATGGCCCACAAGTCGGGGAAAGCAAAGATACCAAACACCCCAAAGTACATGCATGATAATGTTATCATCCACCATGAACTCGTCCCTTTTGTCAGCAATGGATATGTGCAGCAAGGAATACGAGCCTCGAGAACAAGGAGTGGAATCACGAGTCAAAGATGGGGGCAAAGATGGGTACACCACGAGATTCGAGAGCATAGACCAGCCTTCGGGTAACCCTGGGGTTAGAAATGACAAAGACAGCTTCAGCGCCAGTGACTGCATAGAGCTGATAGGTATGTCTTACGAGATCCGGACGGCCAGCAACCGTTGTGTTGATAATGACGGCATCTGGGTCGGCGTCGCGAACGTTCCTAATGACGGAAGCCGAATAGGTGGCACCCGGGTCAGGGGTTGACCATAAGATTCGACAATTGATATCTCTCTTGCTGAGGTATGACAGAACGGGGCCAATGCCAGAGCCGGTGGCTACGAGAATGACCTTTTGAAATATTTGGGCAACATGCAACACCCCAATTGTAGGGATCCCTCTAACGAAGATTTTCGAAGGAGGCGATCTAATAAGTCGACTAGTCCAGTCGCCAGCTTTGGAGACCAGAACGGAGAACCCTTGGCCGTCCTCTTGGGGGATGCCTGCAAAGGCATGCCATTCCAGGAGAGGACGATCGGACAAGCGAGGGGCGGCGCAAAGTGGCAGGTTGGTGTAGGTGAAATGTAGTCTGATTGCATGGTCTGATAGAGGCTCAGCATGGACGTCAACCTTTCGGAGCCAGACCCATGGAAGGGCGACGGAGATCGTGGAGATGATGAGAGCCCAGAAGACGGGAGATGCTCCAACGAGCTTTTGAATAGTGTGGTCGTGGCCTTGAGAATCAAGGATTCTTTGATTGACGAGGAGTGCGAACAGAGCCCAGAACAAGGCGAGGGTGGACCAGCCGGCAAAGCGATGGACGAGCTCAAAGGCATTGTGAAAGCGAACTCGGATTGCTGGATGAGCCATGACCACGATGGTGACCAGCAAGACATCCAAGGTGATGGTGAGAGAAAGAATGGACAGCTTGTGCTTGGTCAATTCGCCATTTCGGGATGCTTTGATAACTGACAGGTTGAAGAGGCCGTGCCAGATGGTTGCTGCCATGCCAGCACCACTGTGGACTCCACCCAAGTGATAGATCTTGGCGGCCAAACGGCGAAGACGAAGTGGCAATGAGACAGGACACTTGCCGAACAGCCAAAACAACAAGTTGATGACGAGCTCTTGTCGCATGAGAACTCCGACCATGAGGTTCAAAGAGATTGCTGTTGCAGATGTTTCCGGCGAGATTGTGGTCAGCCGGTCTTTGGCAGCGAGCACAACCATGGCGATGATATTGGAAAGCAGAACTATGATGTTCAGGCGTCTATATACGGATAGGATAGTCCACCGAATGTTTCTCATAAGACGGGGATACCGTTTGGCGGGTAGTTCTGTCATGATTTCCGGGGCAGGACTCCTGGACTTGTGGCTGTCCAATGTCGACAGAGACTTCGTGGACGATGTTTCCTTAAAGTCATGCTCTTGGTCCGTGGAAGCCAGGGATCGGATACAGCTTGGGGTAGATGGTATCGAGACGGGGGACTTTGTGAAAGGCTCAGGGTCGTCAGAGAGACTCTGGTGCTCGAGATTCAGTGGCTGTGAGCGGATCGGGAGAGCGTCGCAATGATTGCGATTGAAACATGTAACGGCATTTGAGTTGATGCTACATGGCGATAAGATGGCCATTGTTGACGCGCTAACGGGCGGCGTGCTATGATGTTGGGTCAGTGATAATGTTGAAAAGTAGGCTCGACGGCTTTTTCCTAAGGTTTGGACCACAGCGTGAAGAAGGCAAGAAGAATTTTGGTGTTTGGAGGGTCTCAGTGCAAGCAAATTATCGTGTATAGAGGTGAATGTGCAAGTACTAGAGGCAGGCTCGAGTCAAAGCAAGGAGTCATCAGGTAGCCGAGAAGTGCTGTAGCCAATCATAGTATGTGAAGCAATGAGAATAACAGATGGAATGGTGAATTCAGGCCAGGAATGGTCAATTGGGGTCAAACCAGAGCAGGAGAACTAGTCTGAGAGATCAGCAAGGAAAGTATTAACGTACATTTCTTCAGTTACCATCGAGTCAAGGCGGCGTGTGTTGGACGAGTCGAGTTCTAGGAAAGGTACAGCAGCCAGAGCGCTCGAGAAAAAGGACTTATGAAGTGTTGGGGGGTATGGGTGTGAAGTGACGATGGAGGGAGCGTGACAGAGGTAAGGAATCCATGAGGCAAGTCAGGTTTTCCGAGCTTGTCGTGATGTCAGGCCAACTTGGGTAGAGGTCAGAGATGTCAAAGTCGATGGAACCTAGGCCGATGTCACCGGTGGCAAGGTATAGGATGGAACAGGCGTGATTCTGGCCTGATTTTGGAGCCGACGAGGAGCGAGGAGCGAGCAACGAGCGTTGAGGGGGAGGGTGACTCGAAAACGTGGCAATTGAAAATCATGCAGCCGTGCCGAAGGATGACAGAGACGATGGCACCGGAGACATGATACAGAAAGAGGGATGTAAGGTAGAGAAGAGTGCGTACAAGAATGCTGATGGTGTTGAGCGTGGATCGAGTGAGAGCCAGTGGATTGCGCTTTCCTTGCACGATTTGCCAGACTTGCCATGTTTACCAGCTACGACGTGTGGTGGATGCGCCTTCCACGCAAAGATGAGGTGGAGCAAAAGTAGCAGGTGCTCACACATGTTGGAACACGCTTCCGCCCTGCTCTCGCATCCATGCCGATGCTGCATGGCTCTGCATCTGGATCTGGATCTGCAACTCCATCTAGATCTAAACCTTAGCCTGGAGTCTGGAAAAACTGATCCGTGGTCATGGGCCCGGCGTAAATAGCGTGGATTTCCGCCCGAGGAGAGACACAGCCGGGTTCTCTGGCAGATTTATCGGTAACAAATCAGTGGTCAGATAAGATCATGTTCTGAAAGAATACCCAAGACTAATTCGACCCTTGTTCAGTTGGACCAAAGAGTCCTGCCGACCCTGGTGTGCTGGCGTGGCTGGCTAGGGTTATAGATCCACCTGCTTTAGCGCAAAATAGAGAATGGAAAACGCATATCAGATGGACCCAGCCAGTTCCTTTGCGTTGAGATGAATGGCAGAGCAATGGTTTCCAAGTACGATAAGCTGAGAAACGTAAATATAGAGGTATATGAAAAGATGATATTCTCAATTCATCGTAGATGTAGTCACTTGTTCTCACTGCACAAGTCAGTGTGTGTAACGTCAGATAGAACAAAGTCGGTTCACAGCACAAAGCGATGAGTTGTGGGGTGCAGTCTAAAATACTAATGACAGAACAGTCAGCCCATTGTGGAGGCCTCTTTATGTCCGAGAGGTTTCTAGGACATTGACTGCACGCCTTGGTGCCTTGCATCTATTGTCGGTTGGCTGAGGACGATATCGGCACAGTTGGATCTTGTAGAGAGGTACTAGACTAGCCCACACCGCGTTCACCGACCTCTAAAGCTACACTGCTACACTTAATTTGTTGCTGCACTGACTGTACTATCAAGAGGATGATAACTTGACATTCCCTAGTCTAGAGGAAATATGGTGATGATTCTATCATCTCAATTCGGACTACAGAATCACATACTCCGAGATCAATAGGCTACATGGAAAGACCGTGAAAAAGTCCTGCTTTCGTAAAGGGCTGGCGTGGGAATCTTACACTAGCAGCAGTAGATGCAGGACCTGCATTTGCATCTGCGCCCATCTGTATCCCATGCAAGCTTTAACCTTGGCTGGAGAGACATCGGATCCTGCGCTGGCTTGGAATAACAAGACCTAGTCCGTCTAACCGGTCCAATTCTCAACACTCCAATAGCTTCAGTAAGTGATAGATAGTTTATCTCAACATTCAAATCTGTCTGCACCCTCCCCCGCCTTATTGTCATCACAACATACCCACTCTGTCAGCAGACAGTCATCTCCCTGGAGAACTGAATTTCCAAACAAATATGCACCTGTCACTGCGCTGTTTTCACAAATGAAGCAAGCCTGGTGTGAAGATACACTGGGTAGCCCTGAAGTCTGCTGGTCTAGAAACAGTGGCTGGTGTTGACATCATGGAATCTGAGCTGTGGCAAGCAGGCTGACATTTCGGCCAAAGTGCCGGGATTCGTGTTCTCTGAGTGAATCTAGATTTTGGGACGAGATCAAGAATGAGTAATATAAGAAGCTTGATGGAGGGCGCGGTGTTTAGGGGTTTCTTTATGTCATGGATTCAAGGGAGCAAACGTGCTCAGTTCCGAACATCTCTGTCTATAGAGCTGTGACTGTGATCTCCCAT